TACTTAACCTCTTTGTGCCTGCTCTTGTGGAAAGTGGGGTTTATAAATGTGTCTATCAAAAAGGGCTGCCGGGAGGGGCAGTGTCCCTGGAGTTCAGTGAGTGTCTGTTGCTTTTGTATGCCTGCTTCTGAGGATACTTGCAGGGTAGAAATGGGGAGCTCAGCCCAAAGTGGGAGCGATAAAGCTGCACAGAGCCTGGGCGGGGGGAGGGGAGAAGACACACCTGCTAGGAAGGAGGTGGAGTTCGGGGAGGATTCATGGAAGGGGAGCTATTTCTTTGAAATGGGTCTGGAGGGGAGGGAGGAAGGGAGGGAGGGAGGGAGGGGGCTGTGGAGGTGGGGCTGGATTGCATCAGGGGACAGGTGGAAGGTGGGGCCGGAGGAGCCATCCCAGGCCTCCGACCCTGCTGCAGAGGGGAGAGGAGGGGGAGGAAGCCTGGTGTCCTCAGGCCACACCTGTTATTGGGTTATTGGGATCCTTGTGTCCCTGCCAGCCCTATTCTAATAAAGCCCCTCCAGGCCTCCAGGGAGAGGAGGAGCCTTGCCATGTAAACCATATTTTTAGTTCCCTGCGCCTCTCTCTGGCTGCTATAAGACACCTCTCCCCACCCCCAGCCCCGCGGCTTGGCTAGAGGCTCCAAGAGGTCAGCTGGGGAGAAGGGGAGACTTGGTCAGTACTGTGGCTGCCAGGGGGCTGGGAGGAGTGAGGTCTCGGGCAAGCTCAGGGGTCCCGATGCCCTTTCGAGTCCGCTCTGAGTCTGGCCTGGTGCTGGACCAGGAGGGCAGACTGCCAGGAAGGAGCAAGCTAAGCTGGGCAGGAGGGAGGCACTGCCCAGGCTGGCCTCCAAAGGGGCAGCTCCTAGGAGGAGGAGGAGAAAGGGAGGTGGTCAAGGTTGATGGGGCGCTTGGCTCTGAAGGGCCAAAGTCACCCCCTCCCTCACTGGCGTCTTAAAGTCTAATCCCCCAGATTCACAGTGGGGAGTTGTTGGCTGCCCAAGGGCCAGCAAACTCCCAGGTCCTTGGGGGAGAGCCACCTGGGGACTCAAACCTGTGTATGTGTAGAAGTGGGAGAGGGGAGTTGCTAGAAACCCCTTGCTCTAGAGTTCTCTTCATGTGCTCGAGGAGAGGCGAGAATTGCTGCCTTGAAGATTGACCAGACAGGCTCCTGGTTTATCTTGCCAGGGGAGGGTGCTCAGTTCAAATCCTGGGCATGGTTAGTACGGACCAGAAAAGTCTCCGGCGAGCCTGCAATTTCCCTCATGAGAGAGACTCTACTGGTCCTCTATATCCCCAAAGAGCCAGCAGAGCACGGACAAGGGAGTGAACGAAACCAGAAGACATGTTTTGGTTCAATATAAAGGAGATGTTTTAAAGCTTTAGGTAGTGAGCCCCCTGCTCCTAGGATATTCAAGCTGATGCTGGATGATGATCTGTAGGGAAAATTCCAGCATGTAGTGGGAACTTGGACAAGATGCCGTCAAAGTCCTCTGTTAGCTTCAAGACACGATGGCCCTATCCTTCTACACTTCTCTACCTCGGCCTTTCTATGACTCTGGAGTCTAGCTAGAGCCCCTTTCCAGAGTGGCCAAAGTTGAAGACTTTGGTGCCCCAGAATTTTAGCTCTGGGATCTCAAGACTCTAAAATTTGAAGACTTGAGAATGATCCCATACGTCTGAGATTGTTGCATTCAAAGGATCCTGTGACATGAGAGGAGAAAGAGGATGGGGCAGATCCGACTTGGAGGGATGCAGTTTTGCCCCGCTGGGTGTCAAACTAGCCCGCTTCTGTGCGTGTGCGTGTGTGACACGCGAGTGTAAGGCTGCTGGAGTTTTTCCTATTTTGTGCATCTCCAGCTTCCTTGCCCCGGCCATTTGAAGACTGTTGCAGGGATAATTATAGCCCCCAAACAAAGCTGGCGACTCCAGGTAGCCATGGCAACTGTTGGGTAATGCCTGTTCTGTTGTAGAGATGTGTAAGTGCAAACAGATGTCGGCTCCTTCCTATTAGCTTAAGTGGTAAAACTTAAAAGGTCCATTGACTTCAAAGTCACAGGTCTCCAGGAGCACGCCAGTTAATGGGGGCGCTTGCCAAGGGGTGACAGCTAAGTATTAAACACTTTAGCATCGGTAATGATTTGATGAGCTTTTAAACGCTCAGGCTGTCCCCAGACAGCTCGGAGGCTGGAGATGGCAGAGTTGTGGCTTATCAGCCCCAGGTGGTGGGCCCATATCCTTTCCAGGGCCCTGTTCCCTTACCGCCAGGTGGGGAACCACACCACCCTGCCCTGCCCCGCCCTGCCCTGCCGCTGCGTGGGGCTCAGCCTCCAGCAAGTGACTGGGACGAAGCATTGCAGCTGCTGAGGGTCTGAGCCCTTGGCAGACCCTCTCCAAGTTGCTTTTCCTCTTGTTCCTGGACCTGGCCAGGAGTAAGCCCTTAGTACAGGGCTGCTGAAGGAACAGATAAATGATAGTCCCCTCCTCCATCCCCCCGCCCCATCCCTGTGGCATCTTTAGCTACTCATTCTGCTACGGCATCCTCCACTGGGAACGGTGGATGGGCTCCACATCCCTGGGTTAACAGGAGCCTCGTGTGGGGACTCCTGGAACATGGTGTCGGGGAGGGACACCTCTGGTTAGGAACGAGCTGATTCGATAAAGAAATAGGGCTCACCAAAAGGACACATGAGGGGTCCTATAAGAAGTGGCAGTTCATGGACCCCCAAATGGTAATTGGGCCGGGCTTGACAGAGAATGGAGTGAATTCTGGGCCCCTAGGTTACACTAAAGAGCTCAGTTTGGGGTTCTTACTCAGTGCTGGCCATGAAACGATCTCTCTTCACTGCCGCATTTCCTGCCAATTAGACAATTCTTGCCAAAGGCCCCTGTTCATATTTTGCAGAGGGGATCTGATTGGTGTAGCTAGTAGACACTGGCTGTTGGACAGAGCCCTGCCATTGGCTACCTCAAGTTATGGGCCAGCCGCGGTCCAGTCACCTGTGACTGGGGTAACGAGGGGGAAGAACATGACCTACGGTCATGGAGGGGCTGGGGCTGGACAGTTGCTTTTAGAAAGAGCTGTATATGTGGGATAGTCATACCTGATGTGTCTAATACAGACCCAGGACAGCAGGACACTTGCTTCTTTCTGAACCTCATTGTTCACAGCTATAAAATGGGGCAATGCTCATTACTTTGCAAGGCTATTGTGAAAATTAGATGTAATCCTGCCCAAGGAGGCACTTGGTAAACTGTAAAATCCTGTGTAGATGGAAGGAAGGGCCTGTGTACCTAGATCATAGCACTATATCAACTGTACTGTAAGCTTATTCCTTTTATCTCCCCAAGGGACTGTGAGTTTCTTGAACACAAGGATGTGTTCATTTAGTTTTGTTGTCCTCGGCATGTAGCGGTTTCCACCACACAGTAGGTACTCTGTAACTGTGTGTTGGATGGATGAATGGATGGATGGACAGATGATGGATGGGTGAACAAGTGGGTGGATGGATGGATGGATAAATGGATGATGGGAAGATGGATGGATGATTGGATGGATGGATGGACGGACGGATAAATGGATGATGGGAAGATGGATGGATGATTGGATGGATGGATGGACGGATGGATAAATGGATGATGGGAAGATGGATGGATGGTTGGATGGATGGATGGATGGATGGATGGATGGACAGACGGATAAATAGATGATGGGCAGATGGATGGATGGATGGACAGACAGATAAATAGATGATGGGCAGATGGATGGATGGATGGGTGGATGGATGGTTGGATGATGGGTAAATATAAAGAAGGCCAATCATCTTCACTTGCCTTTCGTACAAAGGCCATCTATCTTTTTATTCAACAAACATTTATTCAGTTCCAATTTGGCACAGGGCCATGTGTGAGGTCCAGAAGATACATAAGTGAATAAAATAAGTTCCCTGCTGCCCTGAAAATAAAAATAAGGTATTCAGGAGCCTGGACTCAAGAGGCTGACTTTCTGGGTTCAAATCCCAGCTCTCTACCATCAACTATGTGACCATGGCAAGTTTCCCAAACTTCCCCTCAATTAAACAAGGATAATGTCATATCTGTCTTAGAGATAGGGCTGTCGGGGGATTAAACAAGTTACCAAAAGTAAAGTGCTCAGAGTGTGTATTGGCTGCTATTATACACTCATGGCAGAGCCAGCATGGAAACTACAAAATATGGCATGGTGAAGGAAGCAGCACAACAGGAGTACCTACAAGTAAATGGAAAGAGGAAGAAATTAATTGTGCCTCAAGGGGGGAGGTCAAGCAAAATTTCTCAGAAGGAAATATTTGAGCAAGGTCATGAAGGCCATGAAGCCAGGAGTTTTCTGGGTGGAGTGGGAAAATTCAGACTCCAAGAGGCAATGGGTTTGTCTGGGTTCATCCAGCTATGAGCAGGAACCACCTCAGCTCCTTCCCCACTACTGCTGGCTGGGTGAGGGGCACTCTGGCAAAATGAGCGGGCTGTGGACAAGGAGACTGCTAAGGGCCAGGACAGCCCCAGGGCCAGCCAGGGTGCTGCTGCCGGAGCTTGGAAACATGACAGTTCTTCCTGGGATGGTTGACAACAGGGAGTGTTGAGTTTCAGGCTGCTGGCGTGGGCCTTGGTGGTGCCCTTTCTGCTGGCTTCTGAGACTCCAAACAGTAGCCAACCTCCTCCCTGCTCTTGCCACATACACAAACACCCCCACGCCCCTGTGGCCTGAGTTGTCCTACCTCCCCCCAAATGGCACCTGCCCCAAAATAGCTTCCATGTGAGAGCTACAGAAAGGAAAAGATTAGACCCCGCATGAAAAGGAGGGAGGAGGAGGAGGAGGAGAGAGAGTGAGCAAGCTGTCAAGTGATCTGTGTCAAGCTTCTGGGAAAGTATAAAATCCCTCTGGGGCCAGGCGATCTCAAACCCCAGCTGTCAGAGCCAGGACACCGAGTCAGCCCGGACTTGCTCTTCTTGTCTTCCTCAGACTGCACAATGGGGCTCAGCGACGGGGAATGGCACTTGGTGCTGAACATCTGGGGGAAGGTAGAGACTGACCTCGCGGGCCATGGGCAGGAGGTCCTCATCAGGTAAAAGGAAGAGATCCCATTGCCTCTGTCACCCACTCCCCAAAGATCAAGGGTGTGTGCCTGTAAGGTGGAACGTTTGCCTGGGGTTGACCAGTTGGCTGCGTTGGTTGAGTTTATTAAAACCCCCGCTTGGTTCTCCTTTGCTTGTGTCAGGGACTTGAGTCCAGAAAGGAAGAGAGGAAAAGAGATCCAGCTCATGCCTGTGTCAGCAGCAGGAGAAGCCTGGTGCTCAAATGCTGGATGCCTAGCACCCACCAAGAGGAATCCTAGAATTGTAGACAGAGTTAACCATCTCTCAGGCCCTGAGACGTCTTGTCCAGCCGCTTCAATTAATGGTTGAGGACAAAACGGACCTGAGAGGGACAGGACCTCCCCCATATCACAAGTCCATTAAGGTCTATGAACTGTCAAGGCTAAGACGTGGTCTTCAAGATGAGACCCGCAGCTCTAGAATGGGTTCTGCCACTGAGCAGTTGTGTGACCTTTGGAAAGGTACACAACCTCTCGGAGTCCATTTCCTCTCCTATACAATGGGGGGAAATGCTAATATCTACGTTTTAGAGTGGAAGTGAGATTGAATAAGATAATGCATGTAAGGGGCCTGACATTGTTCGTGGAATATAGCAGGTTCTAGAGGATGTTAGTAATTGTTATGGACGGAGCCAGACTAAGGACCTTCACAGCATTATACTTAGAAAACAGAAGACAGAGGCCCATTCGTGACATTTGATGTTGAGGAAGTCTTGAATTTGAGAGCTCTGAGTGGGGTGGTCTCCAAGTGCATCTTCACTGCTATGGCTAAGGGTTCCTGAATAAACAAAAGAAAACAAAATTCCAAGCTTTGAACATAAAGGATGGCGTGGGATTTTATTTTCCCATTGCCCTCAACCACAGATGGTGTTAGATCCCTTTTCTGGTCCCTTCTCTCATGCTCTGGGCCAGTGCGAGTCAAATATCTAATGGGGCGTAAGTCAACATTTCTGTACCTGGGAGCAAGTGGGCTCTGGAGCTGCCTCAAGTGAATGGATTGTCATTCACACTTTAATTTACAGATGAGTTCCTCCTTCTTTGTGGGCCAGGTTTTCCTCTCCAATTCAGATGTGTATTCAGTCTCACTTGGGCTTCACTCATTTCCAGGTCCCATGTCTGGGGAGAATGGCCAGTCCCGTGAGCTTTATCCGCAGTCTGAGCCCTTAGTGGCCCATGCTAGAAACACCTGGGGAAGGATGGTCAAGTTCTCTGTTGCCTCTGACTGGTATCATGGAGGTGTTCCCTTCTGTCTTTCTCCTCCTGTCCCTGACAGCAAGACATAGCTCCTCAGCCACGTTTGCTGTGTGACCTTGGACAAATCACTCCTCCTCTCTGGGTCCTGTTTGCCTATTGGTTGAGTGAAACGATTGTCTGCCAGAGTCTCTGAGGTCTGTTTCTGCTCTCATGCCCTGGCATTCCCTGAACCCATGCTCCTCCCCTGCTTTTGGAGAGGAGAGGGAGGGTAGTTGGGGTTGGGGACCAGTTTGCCGAGCACGAGACTCTCCAAGGCGATCTGGGGGCTGCCAGCCCCCAAGGCAGTGACTTGAAGGAGACTTGGGGTATTAGGTCATCAGGGGAAATATTCCCTCCCTGCCCAGGGTGGATCAGGGAGACCTGCCAAGGGCCGGGGGCCAGGGATGAGATGTGATGCCTGAGACTCCAGCCCCTGGAAGGTCCCAGAAAGCCCAATGTTTTGTCACGTCTTAGGCTGTGGGACATGCAGAGACCATGCCAACTGGTTCTGCCTTCTTAGTGTTTAGGGTCTGGGGAGGAGGGTCCCCCCTGCGTGGAGAGGGTTCGGGGGGTGGGGGGAAGCTAACTCCCAGGGCTGCATGTGCCTCTGTGGGAGCTGGGCTCTTGGTTCTGTTCCAGATGCTCAGCCTTACTGACCTTGGCAAGGTCATTTCTCCTGCTCCCCTGATTATAAAAGACAGCAAATTCTTTTTGGCTGAGCCTGCTAATAAAACACAGAGGGCTTCACTCCAAGTACATGATCATAAAGGTCTAGAACATAAAAGCCAGAAGGTCAGTTGGAGAGCCTGGCTCCAGGAGTGGGGGTCCAGGAGGGAGGCGGCTGCTGACTGTGCCCCTGCCGTTCCTTCTCCTGCCCAGACCCTTTCTGCTTGATTTATTTTTGTATTTGGACAAAGAATTTTGAGGCCACGAAGTTTGAAAATCACCGCTGGTGGCCAACACTTCTCATGTTACAGGGAGGAAACACGGCCTGAGGGTCTTGGCCAGCCAGGGGCGGCTATAGACAGAACCCCAAATTCCCGAACTCGATGATAATGATGGAGACGGTGGTGGCCACGGCGGTGATAATGGTGGTAGGGACAATGAGGAAGGGGGAGGACAGCAAATATTTACGCGGTACACACCGCCTGGCCCTGTGTTCGGTGCTTCATGCATATTAACTCACTTAAGCCTCACAAGTGCCTCATGAGGTAAATATTATGATCACCACTCTGAACAGAGAGGTTAAGTAACTTGCCCAAAGTCACACAGCTGAAATTCAAATCCAGGCAGCGTGGACCCTCGCTCATCACACCCCTGCTCTGGAGCCCCAGGCTTCCGTGTGGGCATCTAATCGGGCCTCAGTTCAGAGGATGGCTGGGAGGCGGCCTCCTTTCTTGCTGACTTGCCTGTAGGCCTGTAATAGGCCAGGAAGGTGGACGTAGGATGGAAGATGACAACACGAGGCAAGGGAGGGCTTCTGCAACAGGAGAGAAAATCCGTCCATCCTTCTCCGTGGGGTGATGGCTTCCTCTGTCCATTCGCAGGGACCTGCCGTTAGGTTAATCCAGGTGTGGCCTTCTGTGGCTGCCCCCACTCCCAGCGGCAGGACTGTGGGCTGAGGGAATGAGGTGGCTGAGTGGTGCCGGAATGATCTGGTGGGCACGGATTAGCCCGATATTCCTGCACTGTTGAAAGTAAATCTGGGCTCCCTTGCCGGCTCACTGGTGGAGAGTGGAAGGTGAGGCAGGGGTCAAGCCTTAGAATTTGGAGGCTGAGATATCAGCTAGACCAATCTTTTTGTTTTATAGATGGGTGAACCAAGACCCAGAGAAGTTGAGTGATTTCTTCAATGTCACACAGCACATTGGAGACAGAGCGGAGATCAGAACTCAGCTTCCATAATTCTCAGTCCCGTGTCCTTTCTCCCATACATCTGGGGGCCTCCCAGAATATCTGAGACTCCTGGCTACCTTGGGTACAAGTCCTTGGCCTTCATCTGCCCCAGATAGCTCCCTCCAGTGTCCCGACCTCCGACCTTCCCCTGTGGGTGCTAGGTCTCGCATCTGCCAGGCAGGGATCATTGTCACCAGATAATAATAGGAGCTCAGGGACCCTTGGGTGAAAAGTGCCAGAGATGAGCTGTCAGTGACGCACATGGCTTGGCGGGGCCGGGGCCGGGGCCGGGGCCGGGGCCGGGGCCGGGGGGTGGTGAGGTGGTGACATTGGGCAGGGTGTGGACAGCCCTGAGCATTCTGGGGAAGCAGGAGGGATTCCCTCCCGGGAGAAGGGTGTGCTCCCTGTTGGTGCTGCCCTGTGCACGCTTGTGTGTGTCTGGGTGTGCATGCATGTGAATAAGGGTGTATGCTAGGAGATGCTTCCACAAACTGGAGTGTGTCCATAGCAGGGCTGGAGGCGGTGGCAGAGCCTGGAAGCCACGAGAAGGAGGAACTTTCCGAGGACCTGAAGCCATTAGACAGGAGGAGGGAAAGCCTGGGCAGACAGGGTCACTCCTGGAAACATTTCAGAGTGTGACACAAGACAGAGAGCATGAGTTCTAGAACTGTCCAGTCTCTGCTGTGGGTTTTGCCACTGGCCAGCCGTGTGACCCTGAGCACATCACTTACCTCTGTGGTCCATTCGCCCACAAGGGAAATGGGGAGAACCACTCCCATCTAGGCGGCAGGTAGGACTCCCTTTAACCAACACCCACCTTTCCACAGCAGGAAACACTGAGGTCCAAGGTTACAGGTGGCTGCTCAGGTTCATGGGCAGAGTCGATCTGTGGCCAGATCCCTGGCTCCCTGGCAGGAGCGGGGACCTGGTCTTTGGCAAGTGGCTCCCCCTCCGACCCCGGGGCCTCACTGTCTGTACTGTGAGGAGCCTGGGAGGGACAGGAAGTCTAAGCAAAACAAGCAAGAGCTTTCTGAGCCCAAGAGCTAATCTGGAGTAGAATGGCCCTCACAGGTAGTAGTGAGCTTCCTGTAGCTGGAAGTATTCAAGCAACCGAAGGATGATCCCTAGGTAGGAAACTGCAGAGATAGTCCCCTGCATGGTCTATTTTTTGAGTCACTCTGATCTGTTTCCAGTTGGCCCTTCTGCACACCAGCCCTGTAATATTGAGTTACGCCTTCACACCTCTGAGCCTCTGTTCCCTCATCTGTAAAATGGGAATAGTGGGACCCTAAAGGGAGTTGCACACAGGAGGTACTCAACAAATCCAGGGTCCTCAGGCCCCAGTGCCCCCACGTCCCCCTCTTCTGCCCAATTCCAGTTAGTCATCTACTCTCCAAACAACTTAGAAAAAATAGGGGTGAAGCCAGGGACCAATGCAGATACAACCCTCCCTCCTGCCTCTCACGGTAGCAATGCAGAAGACGCAGATAATGAGGATGAGAAAAATCATAAAGCTGAGCCTCTGTATAGCACACTGCGTGCGCTCGGTGCATATGCTCTCATTTAGTCACAGCATTGCTGCTATGGGTAGGGACCCGTTATCCCCTTTGTTTGGATGAGGAAGCGGAAGCCCAGAGAGGTAGAGTGACCTGCCCAAGGTGACACAGCTGGAAAGTAGGGGAGCCCAGCCTGGCATTCGTGTCTGGCCACCTCCAGACCCAACGGCATGTTCCTGTGTCTGACTCCCACCCTCCTTGTGCCCGCAGGCTCTTTAAGAGCCACCCTGAGACCCTGGAGAAGTTTGACAAGTTCAAGCACCTGAAGTCAGAGGATGACATGAGGCGTTCTGAGGACCTGAGGAAGCACGGCAACACGGTGCTCACGGCCCTGGGGGGCATCCTCAAGAAGAAGGGACATCACGAGGCTGAGCTGAAGCCCCTGGCCCAGTCACATGCCACCAAGCACAAGATCCCCATCAAGTACCTGGAGGTAGGAGGCAGGGCAGGGGCGCGTGGGAGGGTGGAAGGACAGGCCTTGGAGGGATGCGATTTGGGTTCGAGTCCCAGCTTGGCCCACGATGCTCCTCCTTGTGCCCCAGGGCCCTCATCTGTAAAATGGGCTATTGCCCACTTTGCCTTCCTCCTGGGGTCACTGAGAGTAAATCCACTTCTCCCCCAAATCAGTCTGTCATCTAGGGGAAGAAGGGAAGAGCAGATATTGGGAGCACCCCTTGTATTCCCCTTCATGGGAAGGTAGCACTACTGTACCCACTGGGCAGATGAGTAAACTGAGGCACAGGGAGGGCGATAGCTTGTCCCTGGCACACTCCCAGGATTCAGACTAGGGCTCTGTTCCTCCAGACCCCCCGCTCCTAACCCCTATGCCACAGTAGAGTAGCTGGGGCTCCATCCTGGGGTGGGGGTGGCCAGCAGGCTGGCGCCACTCATTCCAGCATCTTTACAGATGAAAAGAGAGACAGCCCTGGTGTCCTAGGCAAGGGGAATTGGTTTGAACCTCCTTTGATGGGCTGAGAAGTTGGGTGGGCAGGGGAGAGCCTGAGCTGCAAGGAGGAGGGGTGTGGCAAGAGGGAGGACTGAGATCTGGGGAATAAAGGGCCTTAGGGATAGGTGCAACCCCTGGGGATGGGAGCAGCAGACAGGCTGGTGCAGTGATGAGGATAAAGATCATGGTCATAGCTACCAGTGAGGATGGGCCTTGGTAAGCATTCGCTTGGATCACTGCGTGGAATTCTCACAGTCTCCCCGAGGTGAGGAACTGCATTCAGGGTCTTCTTTTTCTCTGACACAAAGGAAGTTCAGAGATAAGGAGTCCAGAGCCGGTGTGGGGGCCCCACAGCCACCAAGGGTGCAGGCTCTTTCCGTGCTGCCAAAGTTGGCATGAGTCCTCAAAGTTGACTCATGGTCCAAGATGGCTGCTAGAGCTCCAGCCATCTGGTCCATGTTCCAAACAGGAAGCAGGAGGAAGAGAGGAAAGTTCTCTTTTAAGGAGTCACAGAAATCCCATCCAGCGGTTTTGTTTACATCTCATTGGCCAGAAGTTAGTTATAAGACCACACTCACCTGCATGGAAAGCTGGGAATTGTAGTCTATTGCCATTCCAACTCCAACTAGTGTTCTGTTACCAAGGAAGAAGGAGAAGAGGGGCATGGGGCAGGCAGTTAGCAGACTCTGTGCCAGGCAGGTACCCTTCTCATACCCACTTTACAGATTTGGAAACTGAAGTCTCAGAGAGGTTAAGTAGCTTGCCCAAGGTGACACAGCTAATAAGCCAGTAGGTACAGTCTGATCTATGGTACTCGGGAACTCAAGCTCTTAATCCCTTGCGGCACAATGTCTCCCATCAACCACCACCGCCCTTTCTTCAGCCTCTCAGCCTCACCTCCCTGCACCCCAGCTGCCCCCACAAATCACACAGAGGCAACCCTGCCTGCCCGTGAGGAGCGGGTCCTGCCTTTGAGACTCTGCGTATGCTGCGGCCCCTGCCCTCCCCATCTTCTCTTGGCAACAGACCCCTGTCCATCCTCCAGGGCCCAACTTAGAAGCCACCCCCTCTGCATGTGGCTGTCAGCTGCTCCATCCACTGGCGCCCCCCCGTCTCCCCCCTGCAAAGCCGCTTTATCCTCATCCCTTGTCATGGCGCCTGCCCGGCTGTACTGGGATTTATCTCTTTACCCAGCTGTCTCCTGGCCGGGGCATGAGCTCCCCAAGGGCAGACCCTGGCTCTCCCATTTCTGAACCCTGGTGGCATGTGGTGGGCTCACAATACAGCTTGAATGACCCCTCCCCTCTAGGGGGACAAGGAAGCAGGCTCAGAAAGAGAAAACGATGTATCCAAGTGGAGTAGAACCCAGGTCTACTTAAAACAAGCTTCATTTACTGCGTAAATCCCTGCAGAATCTAAGACGGAGCCCCATGTCTGCTCTCCTGGCTCACTGTGGGACCTCCTTCTGTGCTCTTCCTAGGGGGCTGCTACTTCCCGGCGGGGAGTGAGGGGGCCACAGAGGGGGCTGGGTGCCAAGGGCAACTTTTCTCAGTTGTCTGGCTGCCCAAGCCCACCCTAACCTGGATATTAGTGGCTGTGCCCCAGACTCAGAAAAGGCTGAGTGAGGGGACCCGATGGGGTCAGCTGAGCCCCTGTTTTATGGTGAAGTCACCCATGGGGGTCACGGCAGAGTGGAGCCTGGAACCTGGGTCTCCCACATTTTCCAGGGGCAGGGTTGACCTCATGGCAGCCCGAATCCCCGCTTTGTTTTATGACATTTATGACGTTAGAGGTGAACTTCAATATATGTCCAGATCGATGCCCAAAGGCAGGTGTTTGTGGAGTTGTCCTTGTTTCTTTTTTTTCTTCTTCTTCTTTCTTTTCTTTTCCTTTTCTTTTTTTTCTTTCTTTTTTTTTTAGAGAGAGAGCATGGGGGGAGGTGCAGGAGCAGAGGGAGAGGGAGAATCGGAAGCAGGCTCCATGCCCAGGGTGGAGCCCAGTGCGGGGTTTGATCTCACGACCCTCAGATCATGACCTGAGCCGAAATCAAGAGTCGGACTCTCAACCAACTGAGCCCCCCGGGCGCCCCGCTGTCCCTATTTCTAGGCAGAACTGTGTTTATGGGCTGTTGCCGTGTGTGCCTCCTGAGCCTTCTGTCACCATGTGCCCCCCGTTACCTGCCTGTGGTCACTTGCACTTGGGGCACCCTGAGAAACAGGGAAAAGCCACCCAAGGTGTTGTCCCTGCCTCTGTCCCTGGCTCTGGCAGCCGTTTGCCCACAGCCCCCTGGGTGCAAATTCTAGCTCTGCTGTCCACTTGCTATGTGACCTGAGTCTGGCTACTTTCCCATCGGGGACCTCTGTAAAGTGACACCACTTGGTCCACTGGTCACAGTTGTGGTTGGCATCAAATCTCGACCAACTATCAAAAAGGCCCAGTAGCATTTTACACCCATGAGATCTTTCGGTCGCTAAAGCAGCCGTGCTGTAGATGTTCCCGGTAATGATATTGTGGGTGTCTGAGCACTTGTGGGGACGGTGAGGCTGGTACGGGACAGGCTGGGCCCCAGGGACGAGCCGTAGGCCTCCCTCCTTCCCGCCCACCAATAATTCTGAGCACCAGCTCTGTGCTTGGCCCAGAAAATATGATGCTCTGCCCCCCACCCCCGCCAGCCCCCAAGTAGGCTACTTAGAGCAATAACCACACTAAGCCATCGAATGCAAAAATTAAACACACACAGATGGAAATAGTTTCTTTCTAGATTTTCCGACTGGGAAATCCTGGGTAAAACCACGGAATGGGAGCATTTCCCTTCCTTTCTGCTGCCAGCATGGGGGCAGTGTCCTGGGCTCTTGCACCGAGGTGGGCCTGGTTCCCCGTCGGCACCTGTCTCCCAGGGTGGTAGGGAGAGAAGGAATTAATCCATGGAGACCCCTCGGAAGCACGCCTGGTGTGTAATAAGCCCTCGATAAATGGCCGTGGAGTAAAGAGAAGGTGGGACTCAGTCTGATTCCCATCTGGCTCCTAGCGTGTGCGCCCCTGTGACCAGCACCCCCTTTCGTCTCCTCCCTGCAGTTCATCTCAGAAGCCATCATCCATGTCCTGCACAGCAAGCATCCCGCGGAATTCGGCGCCGACACCCAGGCTGCCATGAAAAAGGCCCTGGAGCTGTTCCGGAATGACATCGCTGCCAAATACAAGGAGCTGGGTTTCCATGGCTAAGCACCTGGGCGCCCCCACTCCCACCCCCACCCACTCGGGCCCCGGGGCCAAGGGTCGGGTGGGCCTAGATCCCCTGTAGCTGTGTAGAGTTTGCTTCTGAGTGTCCGCTTTGTTTGAGAGGTGGGTGGGAGAGGCTGAGGAGCTGGGCTAGGCTCTTCAGGGTGGCTTCGCTTGCCTGAAGACTGGGGTCCTCGTGGAGGGTCATCACCCCGGGAACCAGGAGACATGTGACCCTTTGCTCACTGTGGCCCCGCAGTGTTAATTCGCCTCTCTCTTAAACTCCAACCCAATTCCTCCAACCTCCAAACTCAACCACACCTTCACCCTCACCTCTAATCACAAATCCAAGCCATAAACCAAGGCCTGGCCATAAAGATGCTCTCCTATCACCCCCCGCCCCAAAGTCTGTCTGCAGTGAGAAAGAGGTGTGGGCGGAGAGGGACAGCCACACGCATCCCGAGAGAGGCGACGGGGGTCTGGAACATAAGTGTGCCTTCTCAGCAAATGGAGTGACTCACCTGGTTTTAATAAAAGACCTTGCAGCATCACAGTCCGTGCCTGGTGATCTTCCTTTCCCGGAGCAAGTGAAGGGAAGAAATGGCTGGGATTGTGTGTGCAGATAGCCCTGGGGGGCGGAGGCAGAGGGAGAGGAGGAGAGGAGGGAAATGGGGCAGGAGGGAGAGAGGGACGGGAAGCTGCCTTCCTTAGATCACCCCTCAGTGGCGGGGACAGTGCTGGGCACGGGGAAGGAGGCGGAACAGCCCTGGCCAGTGGGGGGGTGTGGGCTGCTCGGCAGACCTTTGCAGTAAGAGGCAAACAGTTGCAGGGCGCCCAGAGGAGAGGACCCGGGGAGGGGGGGGGGGCAGTCACCGTGCTTACGGCAACTTCAATAACACGCCAAGGACACCGGCTAGTGAGCGGCAAAGCCGGGTTCAAAGCTGGGGAAGCAGCGGGGACTCCAGCTGGGGAGACAAAGAGGTGGCCAGCCGGTGGCGGGCACTGACCTTGTGGCCACGGAGAAAGTTCAGACACATGGGGGTAACTTACAAACACAGGCCAGGAGCCACGGTCCATTATCTACAAATGCCGAGCACAGGGACAGAATGTGTGGTATTGCGATGGGGACCCAGAATAAAACACTGTCATGTGACCGTGGCAGCCGGGCAACAGGCTGGAGCCGAGGCCATGGACAGGGGCCACGGAAAAGGGGGCCTGAGTCCACTGGAGCGCCCAGGCCGGGAGGGCCTCAAACAGAACCTAAGATTCAGGATACCAACTCCGGGAAGCCACAAGTCCTCGGCCCCGTAAAGCTCCAGGAAGGGAGCTAGTCACCCTTGCCCTTGAATCCCCGGGGCCCAACCAACCCCCTGCGATGAGCCTGACCTCAGACCACACCAAGGTTCCCGGCAGCTGAACAGGGCGGAGCTCATCTGCTAGTGTAGACATGTCTCAAATCCTAAAAGGCTCATCCATCCGGCTACGCTGCCGTATCCACAATAGCCTGAAAGGGTCCCCCTCCTCGGTCTGCTCCGGGCTTTGGGAGTTCTTCTGCTATCTGAGATGGTGGGAGAGAAGGGGAGGGGAGTGCAAGGGGAGGGGAGGTTTTTGATCATGGAGTCTGGGGAAAATTCCATGCATTTATATAGTCCTTCAGTTGAATGCCCTGGCCAGGAGCACTTCTGTGTAGATACGTGTGCAGGATTTAGAGCTGAATGGGCTGGGCCCTGCCCTCAAGCAATTGACAATCTAGTCAGGGCACCGGGCGCTCTGATAATTAAATCAGGGCAGAAGAAAATTAGGGTTGCCGAGAAGTACCAGCCATTTGTCATTCATTCAGCATGCATCCGACACATATTTGTTGAGCACAGCCGGTAGAAAAATCGCAGTTTATACCTCTGACGTGCACAAAATGCAACTTGGTTTTTCCTATTTGGCATCCTCACTGTGGCAGATACTTAATCACAGTCTCCTGGAGGTTGCTCTCCGGTTCCGCAGTTCCCTGGGGTTTTGGCTAATTCTAAGAGGGCTTACATGTGCCACGTTGTGGTGTGTGAGGGTGGGAAGGTGGCTATCTGTGGCTGTCATCCGTTCCCAGTGGTCCTCAAGGATGCTGCACTCCACCTGGTCTTCACTTAGTGTCCTCACCAGGCACTTGAGGAAACCCTGAGGCTGTCCGAGGCTCCTTCTGCCTGGGCCACTTCTTCTTTGGAACACCCCTGCCCCATGAGGCCTTCACCTGGGACAGGAGGCACAGATTTCCCCTGTGTTTAGACCCCACGGGCCTGTCTGAGCTTTCCCAGCCTCTTCCAGGGCTTGGCAGGGGTGTGCAGGGCTGTCCTGTATGGTTGTATAGGTTGTGCACTCCATAAGAGCACCTGGGGGGAGGATCCAATGAAAGGCTGCATCCAGTCTGTGCTCCAGGTGCCAAGCTGTGAACCCGGAAGGGGTGACTTTTCCTAATTCACACAAGGGTGCCCTCTGAGCTAACAGTGGCCTCAGGCAGGGACAGAACTACTTTCTCTGGGGACCACCACCAACTGCCATCTGTGTCTTCCTTCTGACTGTTCAGAACATTATTTTCCAGCTCAGGAAGCAGGGACGCCTCACGATTTCCTCCAAATCTTTGCCCTCTCTGTGTGTTCTTCCTGGTCCTCTCAGGGCCTGAGCTTTTGAGTCCACAAATCCACACAGGAGACGTGTTCTTCCTGCTTTCAGCTGCCACGTCTTTTCCTGAGGCTTGGGCTCGGAAGTGCCTTGCTGACTGAAAAGGAAAGAGCAAAAGAAGAAAAGAAATCCTGGGCAGGGGGGCAGGGGGTGGGGGGAGTAGGGGCTAATATTTTACAAATGTAATCCTGCAACAGCATGTATTCTGCGTTGATTCAACGAATATTTATTGAGCCAATACTGTGGGCCGGGCTCCCGACTGGGACTAGTCTCCCAGCTGTGAGGAGGCCGGACATGGTGTCTGCTCTCACGGATCTTCTGTGGGGCGGGACTGGGGAGGAAAGAGTCTGTGTCAGGGCCTCAGGATGGTGGGGGGTGATATGCAGAGAGAGTGGAAGATGGTGTCAGAGTCAGGGAACCGCATTAGGAGAGGCTCTCCAAATAAATTCACTCGACGGTGAGTTCATCCAATATTTACTGAGGCCTGCGTCATGCCAGGCACCGGGCTGGGCTCTGGAGGGCCGTGGTGAAGCACACAGGCCTGGCCCCTGCCTTTGGGGAGTGCACGTAGGGCTCTGGGCATAGGGAGGCCGGTAAGGCTGGATCCTGAGGCATCTGGGGAGATGGGGGCCCCGTCCCAGCAGACCAAAGTCACAAAGATCAGTCAGGGCTCTCCAGAGAAACAAACCAAGAGGATTTATTTTTTGATATATAATATACTTTATAAATATATATCTTATATAGAGTATATATAATATAAATGTGTAAGTTCACATTTGAGGGTTTTATATTTAAAATATAGATAATAAACTATATAAAATATCAATATAGAATATCAAATTCAAATGTTGCCTTTCCTACATTTATTATCTCCTTCTAGAATTCCTGGGTTTTGTTGTTGTTGTTGTTGTTGTTAAGATTTATTTATTTGAGGGGCCCCTGGGGTGGTTCAGTCAGTTGAGCGGCTGACTCTTGATTTCAGCTCAGGTCATGATCTCAGGGTCCTGAGATCGAGCCCCACATCAGTCTCAGAGTTCAGCAAGGAGTCTGCTAAAGTTTCTCTCTCCCTCTCCCTCTGCCCCTCCCCATGCTCTCTCTCTCTCAAATAAATAAAGATTTATCACACACACACACACACACACACACACACACACCATCTATTGTGTGATCCCAAACAATAAAGATTTATTTATTTGAGAGAGAGAGAGCAAGCAGAGGGAGGGGCAGAGGGGAGGGAGCACAGTCCCCGCTGAGGCGGGGAGCCTGATGCAGAGCTCGATCCCAGGACCCTGAGATCTTGACCTGAGCTGAAATCAAGAGTCAGCTACTCAACTGACTGAGCCACCCCAGGGGCCCCTAGAATTCCTATTTTTTAGATTGACTCATACTCTCCTCCATGACTCTTTCCTGTTTTCCACCTTTTTGCTCTGTTGCCCTCGGAGTAAGGATCTCTTATTTCCTTGCCGAGTTCTACATTTTTGAAGTTTTTCCAGTGTTTTTTATCCGGAGTCATCTGGTATCAGGCGCGGAGTGTATTTCACCCTACCTCATCCCCTGTGCTTCCAGAAATAGAAATCTGTGTCAGAATTTCTAATTAGGAATTTGGCTTTTTAAAATCCATTTTGTTTCCCTTGTTTGTTTTGTTTCTCCCATATCGGACACAGAGTGCAGGCGTCCCCTGCGTTTCGCTCACTGTTGCAACCCTGGCTGCTGGCCCCATGCACCCCCCTCCCAGCAGCTCAGTGAGTGCTAGCTGAGGACATGAGCTACACGGCCCTCTTTCTCTTGTGGGGGTAAGAGAATGTGGTCAACCCTAGAACATTTTTAAAACAAGTGATTCAGGAGGCCCCAGTGGAGCCTGGTTCTGAAAATCTGCTTGCTAAAGTTGAGCTACATGTGTGTGTGTGTGTGTGTGTGTGTGTGTGTGTGTCTGTTGCCGTGTGCGCCGTGTCTCGGTGAGCACACCTGGTGTATGTGCATTTATGTGTGTGAGCGTGACAGTGACCGCCCGTCTAACTCCTCCCCTCCCTGCCACTCGGAAATCCATGGGGGAGTCATGCCCCCAGGACAGCCAAGGTGATGACCTTCACTCAGGGACATGCAGGCCAGCTCTGCCACCTCTGCCTGGGACCGTGCTCTCTGGGCACAGCCAGGCTGGGGGTGCTGTAGGACGGGAGAGCTACTGGGGCCTGGGTCCTAGCTGGAGAGCAGAAGCAGTAAATTGTCAGGGGCCATGTGCGTGATGGCTCCTTCGAGCTCTCGGCAAACCTTTAGCTAATCAAGCTAGAGGCATTAGGTCTTGTCACAACAAATGCTGGAGAGTGCCACACAACACA